CTTTTGTCGACCGCTCCAGCAAATCTTGTTTCACGAGGCATACCGGAGTGGTCGACAAAGGTTTCCGTTGTCGACCATGCCATGTCTAGACTGCCGCACTGTGCCAGTTCAGCTGATTGTCGGCACAGCATGGGAGCCATTTTTATTTTAATGAAGTGGGGAATATTTAAATCCCCGCTTCCTTGACTATGTCGAATAAAATATTTTACATGGCTCCGTCGACGGAGCCATGTAGTCTAGATGTAGCCTCGGGCACAGAGCAGACTGCAGGATCATGGCTTTCCTCATCTCTGAAACTCAAGATGAACGGCTTTTTACAACATCATATTTAATTTTTAACTAGCAACACGATTTAGAAAGTGGTAGATGAGGCTGAAATTGGCCAAACTGGCTTTAATTAAGCAATAGTGATAAAAAGAGCCAAAAGTAATGTTTTGTACACAGAAATTAAGGAAATCCAAATGAAATGAACAAGTGATCATTTAAAAAAATAAAATAAAAACCCTAAGAAAATAAAGGAATTTTTATTTAATGGAAATGACAGCAGAGTCCAAGTCAGACATAAGGGGATATAAAAATAAATTTTTGCTTTTTAGACAGCTTTGACATTATTTACATGAATTCCCAGAATTTTTCCTTCTACCATGCAACTGTACAATATGAAGCACCCAGAAAATTAATCAGCATGGCTGAACCCCAATTTTTCCTTTGGGCTGCTGTTCAACATGGACTCAGTTCCTGAAAGTGATGAGCAACAGATGAATATGTCCAGAACATTGCTGGAAACAACCTATCTAAGCATATAACAAGTCCTATATAAACATAAATTCTGCGGTTTCAGATTAATTTCAGCATTTCCATATGTTGACATTTCAGAACATGTTCCCAAGTGTAAGAAAATATAGTTCCGCAATGTTTCGCCTCTAAACTCCACAGCCACAAAGGATAATCCTCAAACTTTAGGTGAAGACATCAAGTGTACTTGCTTGCTCTTCAGCCGTTGTTGGTTCATTCACAAAAAGGCATTCTTCGTCAGCCTAAAGCTTCTGGAATAAATTCTGCATTCAGTTACTGTTGAGCAGCTCCAATAAGTTTCCAGGAGTTTTAGTAAGGACAGAATTCAGACCTCCATCTGACTTAGCCTGAATGTGAATCAGGCACTTTGTAATAAATTTGTTTGAAGGAACACTTTGTTTGAAGTTGCTGGTTAAATCACACATGTACAAAATTATGGGAAGTACAATCCCAAATATTGTGCTTCAAAAACAGACTTCCATCACCTGTGCTAAAGAAAAGTCTCCATTCATTGTCAGTAGGAGTACATCGTCTTTGTAGATTAGTTACTAGAGGGCAAATATTATCACAAACATCTGATTTTGTGGTTGAGGTTTCATTCAATTCAGCTTTTTACAGTGTTTACTTAAGCAATCACCAACAGAGCCCTTTTCATGAGGTCAACCAGGATGAGTGGTATGAGACACATATTTATCTGCAGGGCTTGACAAGCGGTGGCGAGCCCCGCTGATCGCGCTGTGGCGCCATGCCGGGCTAACGTAATTGTCAAGCCCTATTTATCTGGGTCTTATTACTATTAATTGAAATGCACAGGAAAATACTTGGCACACACAGGGTATATCTACATCTACACTAATTCAAAATAACATATCTACACACAAACTATTTCAAAATAGCACATCCACATTGAGTGGACCCTGAACCAAAGTTAAGGCTGGTTGGAACCAGTGCCGGCAGGGCATCAGGTTAGGACTTAGCCTCAGGCAGCAGCACCACGCACTAACTGAGCTCTGTGCTTAAAGGGATCCTACCCTCACCCTGGACAGACAGTTCTCAGAGTTCCCCACTTGCTTGTCTACCTCGATGAGGGACAGCAAAGCAGTCCTGACTTGGAGTGCCCTGAGTGCCCGCACTCGGGACACCACAGCACTCGGCCGCATGGAGCCAGAGCTGCCCCGGGCATGCCGGTGTGTCTTGTGCGGTCGTTGCCATCAGCCCAGCTGCACTTGCTGCAGGCTGCCATCCAGGGGGTCCATCGGGGGGCTGTCAGGATCCAGGAGACTCTGCGGGAGAGCATCCACCCCAAGGAGCCCTCAGAGCTTCCCCGGTCCTCCCCACTGGGGGCTCGTGCCCCATTCCTCCCTCACATCCTTCCACTTACGCCTCCCTAGCCCCCCTTCCTGAGGTCAAACAAAAGACACATATGTTCAAAAATAGAAACTGGGTTTACTGAACAAAACTCGGAGGGGATGAATCTCTGGGGAGACTGGGAAAAGGAGGTGGGAGAAGGGAAGAGAGGGGGTGGGAGAGGGTAGGGGGAAACCTCGGAGGAGGGAGCTGGAAGGGGGAAGCAAGGGGAAGAAGGGGGAGGGGAAGCTCAGGGCCCAGGGTTGGGGGTCTCACCAAACCAACTTGATTGTCATGTAAACCTGTCCTGGGTTCGCATGTGGCCTTTGGTGGCCAGGCTGGCAGCTATCCTGCCATAGACAGCCGCATTCCTCCGTCTAGGGCGGAGATCATGGATGTTGGGGGCATCCCCCCCAAACCTGAATATGGTCCATGATCTCCACTCTGGACTAGGAAGGCGCTCACCTTCTCCAACCCCTGTCAGGCTCCTGGGAGCTGGCAGACTATTCCTGGGGAGCGGTGGAGGGCTGGCTGCCCGGGGGT